ATTGAGGTTTTAATTCAACTTATGTATTTTATTTGGGCCTTAATAAGCAAACTTCAAAGAGGTATAAACCAAATTGCAACATTTTTAAACTTTAGGACTAAAATGGTTAAAATCAAGAACATGCATGCACAACAACCGTAAATAAAAAGTTAAATGGACTGATTTGATTAAATCCTAGATATGAGGGACTGATTTGAAAGATTTTAAAAATTTTGGACTAAATTGCTTGATCATTAAAGCTTTGGAATTGAAATAAAAGGGAGGCAAATTTTGACTTTTGACTAAGATTAACGAAAATAGAGGATTGAAATTCACTAATAATGATAATTAATTTATTTGAATTATTAATTAAAATTAATTAATCTTATTTATTAACCTTTAATCAAAATAATCAAATAAATCTAATTATCTCATATTAAAACTAATAAACATAATTAATTTACCTTAATTAAAATTAATTAATTTCATTAATCACACATTAAACTAATTATCCTAATCAATTTATCATCTTATTTATAATTTTTTAACTCCTTTATCCCTTTTTTAGTTTTATTTTTTTAAATAGATCTATCGAATTGGATTGGGTCGTCCTAACCCAAAAACACAATCCATCAACGAAAATATGCAAAGAGCAGATCAAACCTCAAACAAAAACGAAATTTGGACAGAACAAAGGGAAATTTAGGGTTCCTACTAATTGCATCTCATTTCCAACAAGAAACACATGTAAATGACAAGAAAATAAACTGAACAATCTTTGATTCTCATTCATTTTTCAACAAACATATTGTTTCCTCAAAACTCTTCTAGTGACCTCGCACGTGTGAAATTTGGATGCGGGCGTGCCCTTACTTTGCTGAAAATAAGAAAGAAGGACTTTCCCAACGACCCTCTCTTTCCTCACGGTCGACCTCTTTACAGGTGGTGGGAAGAACGTTGGACTAAAATGAAATTTGCGCCTTCAGACGATTTGCAAGAGGGAGGGATACCTTCCTGCAGAATGGGTTACGAAATCTGCCTTGGACAACTCCAAGGACTTAAACACTACCGTGACTTAAAAATTAACAAATCCTAATTATTCTAAATTACCTACAATTTAAACTGTTTGCGAGAAAGAAATGTACCCAAATTAAATTAAACATGCTTATAGTAAATTAAAAATGCAATATCTTGACAAATTCAGAAATTAAATTGTTGCAGAATTGGAAACTTCATCCTAAATTAGCACTAAAATTAAATGTGAACAGTGAATAAATTGAAGAACTTGAAATTGGAAAGAAGCATGAAAGCCACATAAGTAATCATTGAAGCAATACTACTTAAAATAAACACTAAATTAATTATAGACAGGAAATGAATAGTACCTAGAAGAAACTTGAAATGTTGAAATTCATTACATGAAGTGAAACTGATGTAGCAAGTACATAAATTAAATTGTCAACTGAAATGATGAAGAACACCCTAATTCTAATGGAACAT